AAAAAAAAAAAAAATTTAAAAAAAAAAAAATACATATGTGTATGTTTGTGTGTATGTCTATGTACACACATACATATACAGTGAATTTGGAGGCCCCACGTGGACATGGGCCAGGGGATGGGAGAGACTGTGACCTTTCCCCTGAAACAAACTAAAATTTTCAAGATTCAATACTAGAAAAACATACTAGGGGTAATGGCACGTCGCTTACATCTACTCTCTGAGGTTTTACTTTGTGTAAACAAGACTTCCAAGAAGGCTCACACCTACAAGTGAGCAGAGAGACTGAGAGCCAAACAACGTAAGTCAAAGCCAGGGCCAAGTAATCCTATTTCTTCATCTTATAAAGCATCCCCTATAGCATGATTTTGCCACTATTTTTTCCCCAAGGACTGAAAAAAATTAAGCCAGACCCCTGTCCCACTGACCCCCTGTCTTCTTTCCTCACCAAGAGAGAAAATGGTAGAACAGCCTTTCAAAGCTTTCTAGTCAAGGTAAACTGTTGGGAGTAGGGCTGCTGGGAATGGGTGTACCTACAATGCAGTGGAAACTCGGTGTGGTTTTTAAATTTTTTTTTTTTCAACTTTTTTTATTTATTTTTGGGACAGAGAGAGACAGAGCATGAATGGGCGAGGGGCAGAGAGAGAGGGAGACACAGAATCGGAAACAGGCTCCAGGCTCTGAGCCATCAGCCCAGAGCCTGACGCGGGGCTCGAACTCACGGACCGCGAGATCGTGACCTGGCTGAAGTCGGATGCTTAACCGACTGCGCCACCCAGGTGCCCCACACATATGTATTTTATACAAACAAAATATTTCATATTTTGAAGGAAATAATCGAGAAAATTTTGGATTCTATTTCCGAGCAGAATGTAAAATTAAGAGAAGATAGCAGGCGTGTTAATACTTTGTTATAATACAACCTTCTTGTTAAACTTGTTAGGCTGTTCTCTATACTCGGTAAGAAAGAACATTAAAGAAGATATCTTGAGACCAGGACCTCACTTTTCATTCCTTACCTTCACTCCATTCATATTTAATAAGCATTTATTAGGCACATCATGTTGCTTTTGCACTTAGTTTGATTCTTTGAATATCCCAAAAACAGTCATTTTCTGTTTTAAAGTGATGCCAAGGACATGTATGTCATAATTAAAATTTGGTCACAGGGGCGCCTGGGTGGCTCAGTCGGTTAAGTGTCCAAAGTCGGCTCAGGTCATGATCTCACGGTTCATGAGTTCCAGCCCCACATCAGGCTCTTTGCTGACAGCATGGAGCCTGGAGCCTGCTTTGGATTCTGTGTCCCCTCTCTCTCTGCCCCTCCCCTGCTCATGCTCTGTCTCTCTCTCTCTCAAAAATAAACATTAAAAAAATTAAATAAAATTTGGTTACATTAGAAGTGTATTATAATAAAACCACATATTGAGGAATCTCAGTAGTGAATGAGCTCTGAGGAACAGAAGTGGGAATGTATTGTATTGCTGAGATAGCTGATGTTTTTCCCCTTTCTCTTAGATACCAGCAACTTGGAATCTTGCCTACAAACAGAACTTCATTTATGCATTGAACAATCTCAGAAAGAAGAGAAGACCCCTGGGCCACCAATCAGTTCGGTGCTCTTGGCATTTTCTATTCTTGGGGAGCTACAAATGAAGCTTAAATCATTTGGTAAAACATACTACTTTGTTTCATTTACATGAAATCTTAGAAGGTTCTGTGTTTAAGGAATAGCAAAGAAGTCTAGAGAAGAAGTCTAGAGAAGTCTGTTCTCTAGATAATATTGATGATAGATGTAGGGTTTGGCCTCATGATTTATCAAATGGAATTCTCATAAATATAACCCTTTTTATTAAGGGGTTGGATCCTTTCTTGTCTTTCCTTTTTTCCTTGTTTTAAACTAGCTACTGCTATTTATTTTACTGGACTGTTTTGAATAATTTAAATAAAGACCTGTAGACAGTCTGGGAAACTTCAGTGGTAAAACCTGCCATGCATAATGAGTGGTGTGTGATGTCACATTATATGTATTTTTATTGTTAGGTTCAAAGATTTTTTTTTTTTTTTTTTTGGGTGGTGTGGCATGCTTGCTTTTTAAAGGTTTCTTCCAGTGATTTCTGATGAACGTTCATAAAATTTTTCAGGTCAGATGCTGCTGAAGTATATCCTTAGGCCTCTGGCATCTTGCCCATCCCTTTATGCTGTGGTAGAAAGCCAGCCTAACATCATTAGTATTCGTTTTGAATCTGTGATGACTGACTTGGAACATCCATCACCTTCTGAAGTTTTTGCAAAGATCAGACTAGTACTGGAAGTGCTCCAGAAACACCTTCTAGGTATGTGTCCCCAAGGTAGTGCTCTCATATTTTTACGTTTGGGAAAAAGTCAATATTATTTTTAAAAGTAAATAGTATTTTAAGGTAGATAAACATGCCCCCAAGTTGAATGTATAGAGGATTGGAGGTGAGTAAATTATGCCATAGGAGTAAAGTCATTACCTTCTTGTTTCCTGCTCTGCTTTACGATCATTTTCCTCCCCATATGGAAAGTAGGGTCACCAAGGGTACCCCAGATTCTGTACTTGTAATAGTTACTTAAATTCTGGGATATGCTTCTCTCACTAGACTTGTAGCATCACATATTGGGACTCTTGCTTTAATTATGGGCGAAGCAGAGATGAACCAAGTACTGCTTTACATATTTCATTGGGAAGATCCCATTCATCTGGTAGAAACAAACTAAATTTAAGAAATAAAGTACATTCCATCTCAACCAGTTGGGTAGATCTTTATATATTCACGATCGAGATAGCCATTTTCTGTATTGCTCTGAATAATTATTTTTAGTTGTAATACTGTGAAAAATAACGTGTTCTTCTGGTGTATTAATACTGTTGCTTTTTAGTTATTTGACTTCTTTATGCTGTTTTCAGTTGTCTGGCTTAATAGTCAAATCAAACAATCTTGATGTGGACAAAATAAAAAAAAAATGCTGGTGTTGTTTGAATGCCTTCCTGGCAGTCCTTTAGTTTATTAATGTAAAATAATTTCTGTTGTAAAGCAAGGAAGGAATTGGTTCTAGTTTTAACAGTAGCAGAGAAGAAAAGTCTTAAGACTTGTATAAACTGCAGAAATCCAAGGTAGTTCTTTTGTTCCTTCACTTAGGGAGATAATACGTAGCAATAAACAAAGTTGCAAACTAAGTATCGAAGGATTGGGAAGAACCAGAGATCTCTGATGCTTGAGTTTCCTCTCTCACACTCCCATCCATGGATCACATAGCCAGTCTGAGCACTGGTAGTGAGAGCGAGGTCACTTCCTCTTGATGCATTCTGTTCTGTCTCTGGGCAACTCTTGAGTTTTATGGAGTTTTTGTTTGTTTTTTAAAAATCATATCTTCTATGTCTGTGGTAAATACTACTGGCAAAGCCTCCATTTTGCAGATTAAATCTTTAAGGTAGTCGTTTAAAAAAATTGTTCAAAATACATTGCTCTGTAATGTCTGCTTCATGGATGCCATTTCTACTGTGTGGAATTACATATAACATGTCTAACTCCTGTTACACATGATGGACTTCTAAGTTCTTTACAGTAGCTGTTATTTCCCCTGTATCTTACCACCAATATAGACATCCTTAGGTTTTTTGAATCACATAGTTTTAAGTTCCTATTTTTATTGCTCTTCTGTGAATGTATTCCATTTCTTCTATAGTCTTATTCAAAGTATGGTATTCAAAACAGAACAAAGTATTATAGGTATAGTGTGAAACACTTCAGAGTAGTTTGCCAGTACTCATGCTCTCATTCTCAGTTCCATGCTTCTATGAAGATAGGCTTTTTGTTTTTATTTCTTAATTTTTAAGAAATTAATTTTATTTAAATTCTAGTGAGCATACAGTGCAATATTAGTTTCAGGAGTAGAATTCACTGATTCATCCCTTACATGTAACACCTAGTGCTCATCACAAGTGTCCTCCTTAGTACCCATCACCCATCTAGCCCATCCCCCACCCGACTCCATCCATCAGCCCTCAGATTGTTCTCTATTTTTACTAGTCTCTTATGGTTTGTTTTCCCTCTCTTCCCACCCCCTACCATATGTTCATCTGTTTTGTTTCTTAAATTCCACATATGAGTGAAATCATATGATATTTATCTTTCTCTGACTGACTTATTTCACTTAGCATAATACACTCTAGCTCCATCCACATTGTTGCAGATGGCAAGATTTCATTCTTTTTGAATATTCTGAGTGATATTCCATTGTGTATGTGTATGTGTGTGCACATATTCCATTGTGTGTGTATGTATATATATATATATATATATATATATACATATATACATATACATATATGTATACGTGTACATGTGTATGTATATATACACACACACACATACATATGTACATACATACATATATACACATACATACACACACACACCACATCTTCTTTATTTATCAATGGGTGGAAATCTGGGTTCTCTCCATAGTTTGACTGTTGCTGATAATGCTCCTATAAACATCAGGGTGTAGGTATCCCTTCAAATCTGTATTTTTGTATCCTTTGGGTAAATACCCAGCAGTGCAATTGCTGGATCTTAGGGTAGTTCTATTTTTAACTTTTTGAGGAACCTCCATACTGTTTTCCAGGGTGGCAACACCAGTTTGCATTCCCACCAACAGTGCAAGAGGGTTCCCCTTTCTATGCATCCTTGCCAACATCTTTGTTTCCTGAGTTATTAATTTTAGCCATTCTGACAGATGTGAGGTGGTACCTCATCATGGTTTTGGTTTGTATTTCCCTGATGATGAGTGATGTTGAGCATCTTTTCGTGTGTCTGTTAGGCATCTGGATGTCTTCTTTGGAGAAGTATCCATTCATGTCTTCTGCCCCTTTTTTCACTGGATTATTCGTTTTTTGGGTGTTGAGTTTGATAAGTTCCTTATAGATTTTAGATACTAACCCTTTATCTGATAGGTCATTTGCAAATATCTTCTCCCATTCCATCGGTTGCCTTTTAGTTTTGTTGATTGTTTTCTTTGCTGTGCAGAAGCTTTTTATTTTGATGAGGTCCCAGTAGTTCATTTTTGCTTTTGTTTTCCTTGCCTCTGGTGACGTGTCTAGTAAGATGTTGCTCAACTGATTTCAGAGAGTTGTTGCTTGTTTTCTTCTCTAGGATTTCAATGGTTTCCTATCTTGTATTTAGGTCTTTTCATCCATTTTGAGTTGATTTTTGTGTATGCTGTAAGAAAGTGGTCCAGGTACATTCTTCTGCATGTTGCTGTCCAGTTTTCCTAGCACCATTTGCTGAAGAGACTGTCTTTTTTCCATTGGATATTCTTTCCTGCTTTGTCAAAGATTAGTTGGCTATACTTTTGTGGGTCCATTTCTGGGGTTCTCTGTTCTGTTCCATTTATCAAAAAGAAAAAGGACCCAAATAAATAAAGTCATGAATGAAAGAGGACAGATCACAGTCAACACCACAGAAACACAAACCATAATAAGAGAATATTATGAGTAATTATGTGCCAACAAATCAGGCAATCCAGAAGAAATGGATAAATTCCTAGAAATATATAAATTACCAAAGCTGAAACAGGAAGAAATAGAAAATTTGAACAGACCCATAACCAGTAAAGAAATTGAATCAATACAAACAAGAATCCAGGGCCAGATGGCTTCCCAGGGGGGATTCTGCCAAACATTTAAAGA